GGGAGTACTACATTATGAAAACCAAGAAAAAACTACATTTTGAAAAAGAAAAAATGACCCAAGAAGTGTAATATTTATGCTAATTTTATATTCTAATTGTTTTTTTAAACTAGATTTTTATATATGAAAAAGAATACTCATAATATTTTTTATCTTAAAGACAATCATTAAGATAACGTGATAATACCATCACCGCCACCACCACCACCAAGAACAACAACAACAACAATAATTTATAACAACAAGAATTAGAATAAGAATAATATTAAACCACACATTAAAAAAATTTAAAACTTTTTTTTGATATTTTAATTTTTTCTAGTTTTTTCAATTTCTTTTAATTTTTTTCAGTTTGTCCAATTTTTTCTAGTTTATTCCCGTTTCTTCCAGTTCTTCCGGTTCCTTCACGTTTCTTTCACTTTCTTCCATCCAATTTTTTTTCCACTCCTAAAGAACAGGCCCTAAAACATACTCCATCCGTTCTCAAAAACTCATCCTCTTTCATTTTTTTACTTCCAACAAAACACTTCCACTTTCTATTAAAAAACCACTTTTACCCTTATTTTTTCATACCATACCTATCACATCATACTTTTTCTCTAATACTCAATCCATCATATCTTACTTTTACCCATCACATCAAGGACAAAAATTGGATGTCAACTACAATTTAACACTTCCTTATTTTTACACAAAGTCAAAATAGGAACACTTTTATAGAACAGTGGGAGTTTTATATTTAGCTTTCATCTCATTTTTTCTCGTAATACATACGTTTGAATTACTTCAATATGTCAAGTTTTTTTTTCCTATTATATCGAGCTCCTCATTCGATATCCTTTGTTTCTCTCTCTTTTCTTTCATAAGATTGAACAACCGCAATGCCGATATCATCGTGAGGGAAAATAAAATCAGACTTAAAACCTGACCCAATTGATTGAGTTTTCTTTCTTCCGATCGGCCGTGGAATGAGGTCCTCTTTAACGGAGTCGTCTAGGTTCCGGGCGGCCTTTGTTTCGAAGAGTCAAAATATAGACCACGTCAATCTCAGCAAATGATCGTTTCTTTGACAATCCAGCCTCAATGAAAGAATAATAGTTTGGGATAAAGTTTGTAGAATTTGCAGTGAATATGACTAAAACATAAGTCATTTCTCAATGTAGAACTTAAACTTTTTTATTCAATAAATATGACTTAATAATGACTAGTAAGAAGAATAATGTCCTAGTGATGCTGGACATTTAATTGAATAATAACTAATAGATAATAATCAATAGTCCTACATTGGAAAAATAAAAAATATGATCATATATTGAGAGTTATTATGTTTTAATCCTATTTAGTTAAATTACCCATAAAGTTTCTCTTGTATTTCTCATGATTACAATATGAACATGGACTATATTTATATAGGATCTCACATACTAGAAACTCTATATGGAAATAATTACATGAGCAATGAAATACCGATTTATTTTCTCTCAAAATCCCGATGAGGTATACTCTTTAACACTCCTTCTCAAATGAACATCCGAGCCATTTTGAATCCAACCGACCGTTGACCACTCGCAAATGGACTCTCCTTCCTAGGAAATGAAAGGATCGAAAGTGCCAACACATAAAGGATCACAAATCGTTGGGCATGGACTGTCAGACGAGCAATGGAGTTACATGGGCTACATGTCGTCTTTTTTTCATATGGACAACTCTGCTAAAGACAAAAGGCCCGCTAAGAATAAATTTCTAAACGAAAAATATATAATTTCACACACACACACACACATATAAAGAACATACATAAAATATATATAAAAAAGAACATACTCATAGTATAAAACTTACTAACGATAGGATGCTACCAGATGCCGACCCACGCAGAGACCAACAAATCTTATCCACTCAATGTCTATTTTTGAATTGAGTGTAATGCCCCAGTCATCAACTTCTTGGCCCTCGATTGCAGGCTATGACTCTTTCAGAGTGCACTTTTTTTCAGTGCAATTGGTTCTAGTTGAGTATTTGGAAGCGAATCCAGGTCCATCAAATTCATCGGTGTGGTTTGGCTTTCAAGATATGTCAGGTTATTCTCGTATCTTTGATAAAGCCATATCACATACGCATTAGACTCAAGACCGGATGGAGGACCAAATAGATTCATGATAAAAGCCAAAAAATTAAAAGAGAAATTAGAGGTGATTTTTTTAGAAAGAAGAGAGAAAAGAAAGATGAAGATTTTCGTTTGCGTGTTTTATTTTTTAAAATGAGAGTGAATATATAGAGGGTAAAACTTTTTCGTAATGAGTAACGACTAGAGCCGGCAAATCGGTCGGTTAGGTCAGGTTCGGTTCGATCACTTCAAGTTTGGGTTTTTTTGGGTTCGGGTCAATTCGGGTTCAGGTTGAGAACTGTATGTTCATGACTCAGTGTCATCAGGTTCGAGTCGACCCAACGGATTATGACTTTAGTTTTTTAAATTTTTAAATTCACATTTGCACTTACATTTTATATTAAATAAATTAAAAATATCAAAAAAATGTATTAAATCTATAAAATTATTTTATTTTAAACTTTGAAGTAATTTTTAGATATACAAATCAATATACGGAATTTAAAAATGTTTAAGTTTTGGGGAAAAAAAGTGAGATAATTATGCAATATCATTCAAATTTTGTCTAAAAATATAAATTTATACACTAAAAACGAGTAGTAAAGTGTATGATTTTGAAAAATTCTTAATTTAGCAGGTCGGTCAGGTCGGTTTCGAGTTCGGTTGGGTTGACCCATTTTTAGCGGGTTATTTCGGGTTCGGCTATCAAAACCTTTGTTCAAAACTCAGTGTTTTCAGATTGGGTTTCGAGTCAAAAACACCCCGCACACTCTCGCCTGTTAAACTTGACGCGGGCATGATGAAGCCCCAAAAATACCCCGGGGGAGGTGTTTAATGCCGCCACGGTGTTAAAAACGCAAAAATGTCTGGGGCTTCGAGGGTAGTTCGAGTGCTCTCACTCGTACCCCCAAGTTTGACCATATTTATAACTATTACGGTTAAAGAAAAAAAATTTAAAGCTCTACTCCATTGGTTTTATATTCTTAAATTCTAGTCCATCATCACAAAATGTTTATCACATCGTGAAAAATAAAATAAAATTTATTTGTAAAGCTTAAAAATGAACAAAAATGTGGTTTGATTTGTTTTGAGAAAGACGAAAAATAAAGTGCGAAAACCTTTGCGAGACGTATAAAAGGATATGCACGCTCAGTAATTTCTGTGACAAAATTAGCTACTTTAATCTCGGGGTGATTTATGTAATTATTTTGAAATAGAAAATGTGATGCATGATTATTTTTGTTTTGTCAAAAACTCTGTGTATTATTTATACCAAATTTTCGTTCAATTAAAATTTAAAAAATTACAGCGTATTACTTTATTTCCCCCTTATTGTTGTTACATTGATTACGGGACATAAAACTTATTGTGCAAAAAATAAATTGGAATTGACAGAATTCAATTCTATAGAATTGAATCCCAGGGAATTTCAATTTCAATTCAATTCCAATTCTACCAATTCCGTATACCAAACGGACCCTAAAAGTTGAATATCTCAAATATTACAAATATGATTTGGACAAAAATATAGTGGCATATTAGAAGATAAAAAGGATATTATTTTTTTAAAAAAAAAAGTTGAGCATAAATTATTAAATAAAATAGGAAACTTATAAAATTTAATAATTAGTTCAATACTTTTTTTTATTTTTCTAACAACTTCCAATTTTTCCAACAAATGTTGGGCGTCTACATCTTGTAATGAGATAAAACGGTTCAGCCCGCTTGGCTGTGTTAAATAGCCTGTTACCTTTGCCCGATCTATAACGGGTTGGGCTAGACACAGTTGGGCTTTTTGAGGCCTAATATGTAATTCATAGTCCATTGGATCCAAATGAATCAATTTGAAGTACACGAATTTTAACTTGAATCAAAGAAAAAAAATATAAGTCGAACTGGGGCCAAATAACTCCGGTACCCCCTTTGATTTGAAAAATTGATACCAATACACCCTTTGTATTTTCAAAACTTATTTCTAGAGTACTCGTGGTTTCAAAACGTTGCACCCACACCCCCTCTGATCATTTTCCGGCCATTTTCCGGCGAGGAAGGGGCATTGGCGCATAATTTTTAAACCATAGAGGCATTCGTGCTCATTTCTTATTTTCGTTTATTATTCTTCCCTTTTTTTAAATATCATCTATCTCTTTTTCCTTTTCCTATATTTTTTTAAATATATTTTCAATTTTTTTTATAATTTTTCAAAAATTTTCAAATTCTTTGTGTTTGAAATGAAAATAAAAATAAAAAAATTAACATATATTACATCTATCTCAAATTAAACATTTTCACTCTTTGTTACTTAGAATAAATTTTTGGAAAGTTCAAAAAAACAAAGAATAAAAAAAATAAAAATATGGAAAACGAAATGAAAAAAAAATAAAATACGCAAAAAAAGTCTTATACAAAAAAAATTGGACATGCCTTAAAAAGTCCATAGATTTAAGATGTCCAAAAAGGATATTCATTTTTATTTTTGTATTAATTTGTTTCTTATTTATTCTTCATTTTTTTGAAATTCTTAAAAAAATTATTTTTTTAAAAAAAAAAACAAAAATTGTTAATTTGAGAAGTACATATGCATTATATGTTATTTTTTCAAACAAAAATAACTTTAAATTTTAAGAAGATTATAAAAATAATTTTAAAAAAAACCTTTGTTAATAAATGAAACAGAAAAAGGAAAAAATAGAAAAAACAAAAAAATATGCGAGAAATAAAAATCAGCACTGATACCCTCTATGGTTTAAAAAATATGCACCAACGCCCCCTTCTTCGCCAGAAAAATGGCCGGAAAATGATCAGAGGGGGCACGGGTGCAATATTTTGAAACCACAAGAACTTTAGAAATGAGTTATGAAAAGAAATGGGGTATTAATGCTTATTTTGCAAACCACAACTAGGTCCAAACAAACCAAAAATGACCTGCACCCAAATAGTCTTCCTTCACGCCGCCCTGTGTGAGACCCTCCGGCTGTACCCGCCGGTGCCCCTGAACCACAAAGTCCCGGCGGAGATGGACCGGCTCCCAAGCGGGCACCGGGTGAGGCCGGGCACCAGCGTCATACTGTGGTTCTACGCGATGGGGCGGCGGGAGGAGGTATGGGGAGACGACTGCATGGAGTTCAAGACGGAGAGGTGGGTGGTGGGGGAAGGCGGTGGCGGCCGGGCGGTGAAGCACGTGCCGTCGTACAAGTTTCCGGCATTCAACGCCGGACCCAGAACGTGTGTCGGAAAAGACATGTCCTGGGTTGTGATGAAGATGGTGGCGGCCACCGTGATCCACCGCTACTGCTTTGAACTTGAGGAGGATCATCCCGTTATCCCCAAGGACTGCATTCTTCTTAAAGCCAAACATGGCTTGAAGGTTAAACTCTCATTTATTCCTCACAACAATTAAAGAGTCCATCCCCCAAGAATGATATGGAATACTATACTCTATTTGTTTTGATTTTTTTGAATTAAGCTGTATAAACTTTAAACTCAAAATTTGTCATGTTTAATTCCAAAAGATCAAAATACACAAATATAGGGGAGTATATACTAAGGAAAAAGCTACTCCGTACTTGTTTGCATTGCTAGTAAATGAGTGATTGCTTTAATTTTATACTCTCTCCGTCCCAAATTATGATGCATGTTTACTATTCACAGGGTCAAACTTCATTCACTTTCTTTCTTAGCAATTTGATAAAATAAAATATTATTGTCACTACTAATTTTGTAAATCTTTTGATGTAGTTTTTTAATATGTAATTTTTATTTTTTAATTTTATACCATTTGTCATATAAAATGGTTTGAAAATAATTTCAGTCAAACATCGTAAACCGAAATAAGCGTTATAAATTGGGACGGAGGTAGTACCCTCTACTTTAAACCCTTCTACTTTGACAAGAAAATGAAATTTTAGTTAATTTTCCAATTTTGTCCTTGATGTGATAAGTAAAAGTAAGATGTGATAGTTTGGTTATTAGTGAAAAAGTATGATGTGATAGGTAGGATACGAAAAAGTAAGGGTAAAAGTGATTTTTTAATAAAAGTGGACGTGTTTTAGGGAATTCAACAAAAACGAAAGAGGAAGAGTTTTGTGGAACGGAGAAGTACTATTTCTTAGCTTCCATCTCAACGATGTGCTTGTTTAAGATTTTATTTGGGGTATTGTGCCATTGAAAATTCTTACCGCTATGATGAGTAATTTTACAAAAATAAAAGATAGAATAAATTTTAAAATTGAACTCTTTATCATATGAGTTTTTCATATTTACTTTACTATTTACGCCTGTGGTTTTACTTATATCAATGTTTCTTATGAATATTTCTTTTTTTTTACTTTTGTCATATTGGTATTAAATTAAGTGTTAAAAGTAGAATTTCACAATGATCACATATCCTTCTTGTCATAACCAATGTCAGAGGTTGCTGCTGTTTGATGATGCGTCATTTGTCAACTAGACTCGCTGTTTACTTCATCCATAGTCTGTGGATGTCGTATCCGGTCGAAATCCTTATTCATGATCATAGTCATTATTGTTGTGTTGTTCGTAAAGCCAATATCAGAATACCTCACTAGACATAAAGTCGATGTGAAATTACACTTTTAATCTTCAATTTAACATCAAATGACAAAAGATCATAAAAGAATGATCTCGAAAATAACATTTTATAATAAAGAACTAAATACGAAAAAATATTATATTACAATGATCAATTATATAATTTAATCTAAAAAAAATATTATGAGAAAACTAAATTTTTTTTGCAGTTTATTCGATCATAGAAGCACTCGCGTATAAAAAAAGTGGTTCGACTTTCTAGCAGGCCACTTGCAGAAAACAGGCCTAATAGTATCTCTTGGTCTTTCTATATAAACTTAATTTCAAGCCCAACTTAAAAACATACTCCGTATTTGTAAGCCCACGCACAAGATCTTCACATGTGATAATACAATAGAGAAATTTACCTAAATAGGACTAAAACATAATGACTTTTCCAATATAGGACCATATGTTTTTATTTCCCAATGTAGGACCTTTGGTCATTATCAATTAGTCATTATTCAACTAAATGTTCATGATTACAGGACATTATTTTTTCTACTAGGTCATTATTAAGTCCTATTTAAGGAATAAAAAAATTTAAGTCTTATATTAGGAAAGTCATTATGTTTTAGTCCTATTTAGTGCAAATTTCACAATATAATTTTGGATCTTGCTAAATACGGAGTATTATTTTTCTTAAATTTCAAATTTTTATTATTTGGGAGTGGATTTAGCAATGCTCTATAACTTTCACTTGCTTTTATTTTTTTGAGTTATTAAATACTTTTATGATTGTAAAAAGGTTATTGCTAAATTCATCCATTGCACATTACGATGTATTCAATCTTTTTCATCTAATAGACAAGTTTACCCGTAATGTTTGACATGGTAAAAGAAAGAATTTAGAGGCAAAATGTTTGAATATTAGGGTGTGGTTTAGTATCACCTTAAATAATAATGTTTGAATATTAATTGGTAATAATAATTATTTTTATTAACACTTGTGATATGAAAATATTTTCAAACACTCATAATTATTAACTGAATAACATTTTGAAACAAAACAAATTACTATTTATTATTGTGGTGAAGATGGTTTATAAGAGCATGCGCAGCGGCGAGGCATTTCCTCGCTCGCTGCGCCACATCAACTCCCTCGCCACTTTTGCCTCGCGTGGCTCAGCCTCCCTCCACGCCAAGCGTGTGAGGCGCGAGGCATCCTCAATTTTTATTTATTATTTTTTAAAAAATAATTTTTTTAAAAAAAGAGTACATCTATATAAAAAAGATAAATGAAATAATTTTTAATAATTAAAATGCTTTAAAAAATCATAAAAATTGACAAAAACAATAACTTGCCACTGTACGAGATGCCTTTCCACTCACTTGCCACACGCTGACTGGATTGTCTTTTATTGGTTGAAATGTGCCACGTCAACGTGTGGCATTCCATTTCGTTACTTGCCATTGCCCGTGCTCTAATAAAACTAGAAATTACTACTACATTGAACTTGGATCTTTGCATTGGATTTCGCTTGTCTATGGGCCTCTAATCATGGCCTCTTTATCTAAAGCTTCTGTTCTATGGAAAAACAGTTGAGAAAAATAGTTGACAGTCAACAGCTGTATACTAAAAGAGTTTGTACTCCCTCCGCCCGGTGTATTTGTCCAATTTGATTTTTTTGAATCAAACTGAACAAATTTTGAGCTTCAATTAAATAAAAATCGTAATATATTTTAACATAAAAATGACTTTATTGAATTTATCGTATTGAAAACTTTCAAAATTGAATTTCATTATGGTAATATGCAATATAAATTGAGAGTAATTAGAGTTCAAAATTTCTCCAATTTGACTCGAAAAAATCAAACTGGACAAATACACTAAGACGGAGGTAGTATTTGTTACAGTACTCCATAATTGGGATTTGCTAGATACTCCCTCCGTCCCAAAAAGAATTGGACGGTTTGACTTTTTGGGAAATTAAGGGAGGGATATTTTGGTATTGACTTTCCAAAAATACCCTTGATGTGATGGGTAAAAGTAGGATGTGATGAGTAGATTATTAGAAAAAAAGGTATGATGTGATAGGTAGGGTATGAGAAAAATAAGGGGTAAAAGTAGTATTTTAATAGAAATGTAACGGACTTTACGGGACGCAGTTTTTTCGAAACGTAACAAACCTTTTGGGACGGAGGGAGTATTTTTGAAGGCGGTGTACACCATTTTCTCACAAACAGACATGGACAGTCAATGTATGTGTGTTGTGTACTTGTGTGTGTCTAGGAGAAGAAAGAGAAGACAGTGTAAACTTGAAGTACACATTAATTTTTACTTATTTATTTATTTATCATAAATGAGCTTGTTTAAATAGTGAGTTCGTGATCTATGAAATTAGTTTATACGAGTATGGTCGAGGGGATCTCCGGCGGTTAAATGGAAAATGAGAATCAAAGAAAAACGTGATGATAGATTTAAAGTCCACACCATACAACTTTGTGTAGACCAATAGAAGATGACTTATTAAAATGCTTGCTATTGAGATGAGTTTTTTTTTTGGAGAAAAAATGAAAAACTATTTTTTGTTTAAAAAAGTTTACATGCGGAGTATAACAAAGTGATGTGGACTTTAAGTTTACATATGTCGCTTACAATATATATTTATATTAAGAAATCAAGTTAAATAGAAGTAAAACATAAAGAAAGTACTAAAATAAAAATTTAATGTCCGTATCTCTAAAATATGAGTTTGCATTGTAATAGTAATCCAGGATATACGGACATCTCACAATATCTTTTGGTATTATATATTGGCAAGATTAGCATTGTATATGTATTCTCACTGTTAATTAGAAAATAAAAATATGCTCATATTATAATATATTATATATATTTTACTTCTACTTTAATCTCTTACTTTGATCTTGAAATTCATTAAATTTCAAAACTTTTTTAGGAAGCCTTTCTAAACTTAATCAAACATTTACAAATAATAATAATAATAACAACAACAATAACAACAACAACAACTCTAGCACAATCTATATCACACCAAACTCGTCCTCTACGATCGAGCCCCAATCTAGACTCTATTACAAGAGGGTTAAGTTGTCGTTTCTTCGGAAATTGACCGATTTCGGAATAAACGGCTACGATTGAACCCACACTTTTTGTCCCAACATTGGTGTAACTGATGCCGAATAATTAGCGTACGTATTTTGCTAATTCATTGGACTCACAAAGTAGCTCATAAACCTAGCCAGTGGTTGGAATGTCCTAATAATATAATACTCTTTCCCTCCAAAAAATTCTTTCTCGGGTTGACTTTTTATTCTTAATATAATGGAATAAAGTAAATAGTGTAGAAAAAATATTGATATAATGGCACATTCATTAGAAGTTTTTTTGCCAAAATAAAAAACGAGAACGAAATTTTTGGACAATCCAAAAAGGTTGTGAGAAGATAAATAAACTGGTAATTTTTGTCCAATCAAAAGATAGAGAATAATATACCTATGTTTAGCACAATTATTTTTCCATAAATGTCACGGTTCGAATTCGAATTAACTCTTTCCTTTCGACTAAATGAGGTGTGCTAGTGAAGTGGTTATAGTAATTAAAAACTAATTAAGGGGGATACGATAGAGATGACGAGAGCAAAATATTTTGGATTCTTGTTGCATTAATTTGTGCACTCAATCTGGTGTGGCTTAGCTGGACGGTCAAGGGCGGTTGCGGATTGAAAGGATGGTACACCGTACACACAAACAACAAGTGAAACAACAACAAAGCAAACAAACAATTCAAGTTATGGATATCTTGGAATGGTTGCTACTGCATCATGCTTTACACAGATAACACAAATGAAATTATTTGTGCAACCTACGAACAGAGCACTCTAAGTGTCATCCCATGTAAAATTTTAGAATTGAATGACTTGTTTGTGGATACAATCTACATGTGTATATATACAACAATAGTTTCCAAAACATATTAGGAAACATATATGGAGTCCTACTTCTACAAGGAAACAAATTAAGATGAGATATGTACAAACATATTC